TGACTCCGAGGACCCCAGCTTTCATATACCACAGGGCAACTTGAGAACTGTGTTGAAAGGAGTTCTTTAATATTCAGAGCTTCTGGAGGAGAGTAGAACCTCAAAAATGTGCTTCCAAAGAGACAGGGTGAAGGTTTGCACTAATATAGTTTAGACAAGACTCATGTTTGTATCTTGTCCTCTGAATAACTACTATGGAGACAACAATATGCAATATATTAATTATTGTAACTGTCCTACTAACCTGTTTTGAAACTGTTTCATTGCCATTTTATCTTTTTTCTCATTAAATGAAAAATTGTAAAAAAAAAAAAATCAGGCTATATACAAATTATGCAGTTAAAAAAAAAAGAGACAGAGAAGGGCCAACCACATAGCTCAACAGATTATAGCATCTGCTTAGACAGACGCAGGGACTGGGGTTTGATCCCAGGCCTGCTGGGCCAACTCTGCCCCTGAGTGTGCTGAGAGGGCAATTGAAACTGGGCATGGTGGTGCACACCTGTAATCCCAGCACTTGGGAGGCTGAAAACAGGAGAATCACCACAAGTCTGATCTACGTAGTGAGACCCTGTAGACCCTGTACTAAATACATTGAGAGAGAGAGAGAGAGAGAGAGAGAGAGAGAGAGAGAGAGTAAAACATAACCCAGCAGGCTCATATATTTATCAAGCAAGCATCAAGAGCACCCTTGGAACTGACTTTAGCACCCATATTCTCCCTAACCCTTCCCACAACCCTACAACGAATTATTGTCCTTAGTTTATAGAAAAGAAAATAGAGACTCACAGAAGGCCAATAAGTTACCCAAGGTCACCTAGCTAGTAAGTGATGAAGTAGGTGTTTGGATGGGGCTGAGTCCCCCATAATACTGGGCCTCTTGGAGAAATAGGGTATGTCACTTAATGGGTTAGAAGGGCTTTTGTAAGAGCTGTTTGTTGATAAGAAACCCTTGGGAAGGGGGCCAGGGAGATGGCTCAGTGGAATAAGTGCTTCCCTGGCAAGCCCAAGGGCCTGAGTTCAATCCCTGGTTCTGCAAAAAAAAAAAAAGAAAAGAAAAGAAACCCTTGGCTTTTGCTTGATTGGCCACTGGGTTCTTCTTACACTTCCTGTTGATAGCTAAAGCACAAAAATGCATTTGTATAAAATTCTATACTGAATACATTTATAATTAAAAAGTAACTAATATTTTAATTCTTTTTTTTTTTTTGGTCTAAGTTTTAAAGTATTTGAGACTATGTTGTTCAGTCACTGAAATGGTATATATAATTTTTTTTTTCACTACTGAGTATTGAACCCAGGGCTTTTGCACTGAACTACATCCTCAGCCTTTTTATATTTTTATTTTTAAACCAGGTCTTGCTAAGTCACTAAACTGCCCTCAAGCTCGAAATTGTGATGGTCCTGCCTCGGCCCCCCAGAACGCAGAGATTATAAGCATACACCACCACAGCAGCTCACATTAGATATACCATATCAGAGGTTTCCCTAAGCAGAGCTCAGCTGTGCCTGAAAATTGTAGCTCTGCTTTCTATTTTTTGGCTTTGTTTTTAAAAATTTTATTGGCCCTGCTTGAGAGTGACCACTCTTACCTCCATGCCCTAGCTTTGGATAGTTACAAAGGTATGTTGGAAGGATTAGTTTCATTTTTGCTATGCAGAATGTGATAGATTTTCAAATTTATATACTAAGTCTCTTTTGTGCATTGTGTACACAAAAATTTTCAAAGTCCCTAGGGCTCTGTTTGTCTTCTCAAAATGGTCAGCATTGAAACTATCTCTAGAACCAGGCTTCATCCTGGAACATTCAAAAATCAGGACCACCTGGTACGTGGACCCCCTCTTGCCCAGCGGGACAACAAAGCTCCCCACCTACTCATGAGAGAAGGCTTTTTCCCTCACTGGGAATGGCCTTGGCCATCAACCCAACCCTGTCTGAGGATCAGCCTTATCTCAGCCCCTCCCCGGCTGGCCCCAAACTCCAGTCAGCCAAACATCTTGGCCTTTGTTACCAGAGATGCCAGGTACTTGCAGTCTCTCCACCTTTGCACCTGCTGTGCCCTCTCCTAGAAAGACCTGACTTCCTTATCCTTCTGGCAAATTCCTGCTTACCCTTCAGGGCACAGCTCCAAGGTTCACTCCTGCACAAATCCCTGTCTCACCCCGTTTTACTCTGCTCACGCTGCCCCAGTGGCATGCCAAAGACGGGGTGTATAAACCATAGGCATTCGCTTTCCACAGCTTTTCAGACGGCAAGTCTGAGGCTTAGGCGCCATTGTACAATATGGTGACATTCTGGTGGGGTCTCCCCACCTGGCAGAAGACTACCTTCTCTCTGGGCATGCTCATATGAACTTACTCTGGTGGAGGGGGATGAATCCAAGGCTTTCACATTGAGCTATTACCCCCCCCCAGCCCTTTTTATTTGGAAATCTGGTCTAGATAAGTTGCTAAATTGCCCAGGCTGGACTTGGAATTACACCCCTCCTGTTTCATCTTCCCAGAGTGCCAGTAGGTTCCTTATAAGGTCACCAATCCTACCTGATTAGGGTTCCACCCTCAGGTTTCACTTAACTTTATTCTCCTAAAGCTTTATCTCCAAATATTAAACCGGGGTGGGGGAGTGTGACTTTTGGAGGGATACAGTTCAATCCATAGCACCTTACCAGAAACCATTGAAGGCTGCCTCTTCCAGGGCCTTTCCTTCACCAAGGCAGGATGTCCTTCTATCACAGTGTATCCATCCCTTTATTTATTTGCTTGTTGTTTGTTTGCTGGAGACAGGGTTTCCCTATGTAGTTCAGACTGACCTTGAATTCACTATATATAGCTTAGACCGGCCTTGAAATACCAGCAATCCTCCTGCCTCAGACTCCACAGTACTGAGATTACAGGCACATGCCACCGTGTAGCCAACAGCCCAACAATCCTTAATCCCCATTTGTGTGTCTCTCACATGCTGAATGAGTTAACACGAAGCCCCATTCACTGTTCTTCCCTGCCCTTCCTCCAAGGAGACTCAGTCTGACCTGCTGTCTGTCTCCCTGCTATGTTCTGACCCCCAGAGGGCAGGGGCCACTTCTCCATTATCTCAGGCCACTCTGCATCTTGCACAGGTGGGCCTGGGAAAATCCTAGTTCTGCTACGGGAAGGCCTACAGCCCTTGAGGAGGGGCCCCATGCCCTGCCTCTCTCACCCCACACACTTATCAGTCGCTTCCTTATTGGAGGAGGCCTTCTTCTCACACTGGCATTTCTTCCAGTGCTAAAACAAGTTCCTCTCCCTGCACAGGCAAGGGCCACTGTGGATATAGCCAGTGTCACGGTCCTCCCTGTATCTCTGCTGCAAGTACAGGACTTCAGCAGCATTCTCGGCATCAAAAACCAAACCTTGAAAGCTCCTCCTGCCGACTTCCCTCCAGCCCTCTCTGCAGGTGCAGGGTGTGTTAATGGGCCCAGCATTTGGCACCGGCAGCGGCAGCGATCCTCAGCTCACAACACATTATTTATTTAATGTATATGCTTTTTTCTTCCCTCTGCCCAAATGCATCAAGTTAAAATATCTTGTTTATGAGCTCTGGATCCAAGATGAAGCAGTTGGGTCATTAATCATTGGGAATATGTTGAATAGGAACTTGATTAAAGCACAGGATGCGTTAGTTCCCCAGACGAAGTTGTTCTTTGCTGTGACCGCAGTGGAAGCTTGGGCCTCTGGGCTGTGTTTTTAGTTGCGCCCCTTTTAGGACCCCAGGGAGGGCCTGCGCGTCTCACCGGACCCAAGAAGGCGCTGCGTGGGGGTGTCACCTGAGTAGCCCGGTGATGATTCCCAGGCAGGGATACCTCCAGACAGCACTAGGGGGTTGGGAGGTACGGGGACATCACGCCTTGGCTCCAGAAGCCGCAGGGGCTGAGCCGGATGGAAGCTGGAGAGACCCAAGTGCAGGCGAGGCGCCCCCTGCCCGGCACAGAGCGCCACCCGCGCGCGGGCCCAAGTGCGGAGGCTGCACGTGCGCGGTGGGACGCAGGAGCGGGGCACCCACGTGGCAGAGTTTCCCGGGGGGTGCGCGGACCCCTTGGCCCAGCTCACTCGACGCCGCAGCTCTGGCCCTGAGTGGCAGTGGGCGCCAAAGCGGAGGCCGCGTCTCCCGCTCCTGAAGGCAAGTCCTCGCCTCGCTCCGAGCCTGCCCTCTTCCCTGCGCTCGCCCAGCGTGCAGAGTGGCCCATCCGGGGACTACCCGCCCATCCCCAAAGAAAACTTGGCCGCTGCTCGGGCGGCTGGGGGCCCGGCCTCGCGCGCCTGAGCAACCCTCGCGCCCGGGCCTGGAGAAGTAATTGAAAAGAAAGTTTTCCAGAGCGGCTGGACCGGCTCGGTCCGCCAGGAGCCCGGGTCGCGGCCGCCTCGGTACTCTGCAGGGTCCTAGTGCCCTGCGCTACCGAGCCAGTGCGACCCTGCTGGGCTCAGAGGCAGGACGGCGGAGAGGAGCTTCAGAGTGACATCTGTGGGGTCGCGTGGACACCAAATAGCAGTTCCCGCGTCTCCACGCTCCGGGTCTCTCCGCTCGGCGGTGCGCGACTGCCTGCGTGTCGGAAGCTGTCCCCTCCGCCCCGCGCTCCGGGGCAGAAGCCGCGGCCGGGACAGGCCTGGTTCTCAGGACCCAGACTTGTCTTCCACCGAGCCCTTGCACGGCCTCTGGGTGCTCTGGGCTCTCCGGCTGTTAACTGGAAGCGAGTGGTTTGGGGAGGATCGTGGGGTGAACGCCACCGACCACGTGTGCGCCGGGTGACAGCCTGTCTGGGTGGGGCCGGGCACGGCCTCCGGGGTTCCGCTCCCGCGCTAGAGGCAGCGGGCGTTGCGCCACCGCCTCTCTGCGCCCCTCGCCACTCACCGCCCTTCCGAGAGGCGGGCGCTAAGACCCGGCAGGCGCCTCGCTGCCCTCGCCCGCGGTCAGGGAGCCGCTTGGACACCAGGGGGCGATGGCGACCCGGTATAAAAGCGGGACTCGCGCGGGCCTGGCCATTCGCGACCCGGAGCTGCGCGGGCGCGAGTGAGCAGGGCTACCGGGTGGGCGGCGGACGCGGCGGCGCCCCGCGCAGGCTGGAGGCCGCCGAGGCTCGCCATGCCAGGAGCGCTCTAGCTGTCCCATGGAGTCGGCCGACTTCTACGAGGCGGAGCCGCGGCCCCCGATGAGCAGCCACCTCCAGAGCCCCCCACACGCGCCCAGCAGCGCCGCCTTCGGCTTTTCCCGGGGTGCGGGCCCTGCGCAGCCCCCTGCTCTACCTGCAGCCCCAGAGCCGCTGGGCGGCATCTGCGAACACGAGACGTCCATCGACATCAGCGCCTACATCGACCCGGCCGCCTTCAACGACGAGTTCCTGGCAGACCTGTTCCAGCACAGCCGGCAGCAGGAGAAGGCCAAGGCGGCCGCGGGCCCCGCGGGAGCAGGGGGCGACTTTGACTACCCGGGTGCCCCGGCGGGCCCGGGCGGCGCCGTCATGTCCGGGGGTGCGCATGGGCCCCCGCCCGGCTACGGCTGCGCGGCGGGCGGCTACCTGGACGGCAGGCTGGAGCCCCTGTACGAGCGCGTCGCGGTGCCCGCGCTGCGGCCGCTGGTGATCAAGCAGGAGCCCCGCGAGGAGGACGAGGCGAAGCAGCTGGCGCTGGCCGGCCTCTTCCCCTACCAGGCGCCGCCGCCGCCGCCGCCGCCGCACGCCCACCCGCCGCCCGCGCACCTGGCCGCCCCGCACCTGCAGTTCCAGATCGCACACTGCGGCCAGACCACCATGCACCTGCAGCCCGGCCACCCCACGCCACCGCCCACGCCGGTGCCCAGCCCGCACTCGGCGCCCGCGCTCAGCGCCGCCGGCCTGCCCGGCCCGGGTGGCGCACTCAAGGGGCTGTCGCCTGCGCACCCCGACCTCCGCACGGGCGCGGGAAAGGCCAAGAAGTCGGTGGACAAAAACAGCAACGAGTACCGGGTGAGGCGCGAGCGCAACAACATCGCGGTGCGCAAGAGCCGTGACAAGGCGAAGCAGCGCAACGTGGAGACGCAGCAGAAGGTGCTGGAGCTGACCAGTGACAATGACCGCCTGCGTAAGCGGGTGGAACAGCTGAGCCGCGAACTGGACACGCTGCGGGACATCTTCCGCCAGCTCCCGGAGAGCTCCTTGGTCAAGGCCATGAGCAACTGCGCGTGAGGCACGCGGTGGCGGACCGCCCTAGGCCGGCCTTTGGCGGGGACCCGGGGAGTGGTTTCGGGTCGTCGGATCTCAAGGCTGCCCTGCCGTGTGAGCCAGGACTAAGACATTCCAGTGCCACCTGAAAACCTGGCCTGCTCTGCGTGTCCTTTCCCTTTCTCTGAGCCGAACTCGGTGCGTTTAAGATGAGGGAATGAGACGTGGTTTCTCCCTCAGACGGGAGAACTCTTGGGGCCGAGCTCTAGTGTTGAGGAATAACCTTGTGCCTTGGAAATGCAAATTTGCTCTGATTCCTACCGAGTAGGGGGAGCGAACACGTGCCTTGATATTTTATTTGGAGGGAGGGTTCCTGCCTCCTCTGAGGCTGCAGGAAGCCTCCAGCAGAGAAGGTGGGGTGTTGGCCCATGGGGAAGCTGAGATCCTAACCATACAGCCCCAACCACACCTCTGTGCCTGTTCACAGAAGGGAGGAATTTAAAAAGTTGGGCCTTCGAACTTAAGATTTTCCCCCTCACTCTACACGGAGGTGGTGGGGCTGAAATGTCTTCTTTCTCCCACCTCCACCCCCACCCCATGTCTGCCTACAACAGGCTGGTCTTCTTGGGTTCACACTCACCAGGTGACTAGCTGGAGACTCCCACCCCCTGTCCCACCGGAAGGCTAGGTCCTGAGTTAATCCTAAGGCCTTGTGTTCTGGGGGGTTGTGGGCTGGTGGAAGAGGTAAGCTGGAGATGTGGTCTTGGGGTGGGAGGGTAGAGGGATACTGGGACCATCAGCCCTGTCTGTACTGTATGTTGCCAGCATTGCCGTACAAACATGAAGCACAATCAGTCCATCCCAGAGGGACCGGAGTTATGACAAGCTTTCCAAATATTTTGCTTTATCAGCCGATATCAACACTTGTATCTGGCCTCTGTGTCCCAGCAGTGCCTTGTGTAATGTGAATGTGCACGTCTATGCTAAACCACCATTTTATTTGGTTTTTGTTTTGTTTTGGTTTTGCTCAGATACTTGCCAAAATGAGACTCTCCATCAGCAGCCGGCCGGGGGAAGGGGCAGAGCCTCTCTTTCCTTTTGGTTTTGGGGTTGTTTTTGCTCCCCTCTGGGAGGAACCAAAGAGGTCAGATGGGCTTCCCATTCCCCCTAGGCTTTCCCTGGCGTGGGCTGTGGGCCTCCTGGGCCTTTGCTCCCTCTGGCTGGGGCTGCCCGCAGGCTTGTCCCCCAAGAGGCCCTGGCTCTGGGTCTGGAAGGAAGCGCCCTCCAGCCAGTGTGCATGCACCGCTGGGGTGGAAGCACGGAAGGACTGCTTGGCTGTCTTCTTTCGGGGAAGAGCATAGAGTTTCGTGTTAGATGTTTTATGTATTATATCTATAATATAAACATATCAAAGTGAATTTTGGTGTCTTTTTAAACCTAGAAAGAAGCTACTTCCAAGGTTTTCTGTAGGCCAGGTCACATTTGTAAATAATCACAGCATTTTCTCTGGCTGAGATCCTGATGAGTTAGCACCTCTTTAGCCCCTCTTGACGTTGAGGGGGGTGACTTCCCCCAGCTGAAACAAATAACGGAAGGAGGACAAGGCTCCAGGCTGAGACTCTAGAGCCTGAAGAAAGAATCCTGTGAGGACAGGAGTGGTGCTGGGGGTGTCTTAGAGAGGTGCACGGGGCTGAGGTTATGGTATGGCCTCGGAGAAGAGGGCCCCAGAGAAGGCAGGTTCACCCAGCGGCTCTCGGCTCAGGGGCCCTGTAGCCAGACTTCCAAATCGCTGCGCTCCAGCTCCAGTGCAGCCTGGCTCACACCTGCCTTAGCTCTAGCCTTGTCAGGACCCTGGGAGGCAGGAAGTGGCCTCAAGGGTTGGACCTTCCACCCTTCTCCACTTGCCCTCAGTTTCCCTGGGCCATGTGACTTCAGCCTACCCCATTTATACCCCAAAGTGCATCCAACAGGCTGAGCCCCCCCCCGCACCCCCCCCCGGCCATTTCATCCTCCACATCTGTCTTGCCCAGCCAGCCCTGAATGGGGACTCCGACCTGACCCCTCCCTGTACACTGCCTGCAGAGTAGGCAGCTCCAGCACCCACATGCTGATCCTGTACCAAACAGGAGGATCAGATCTGATGATCACCCCATGAGGACAGGCACCCCCGCACCTCCCCAGCAGCAGTGACAGCCAACCACGGCGCCCCTCACCACTGTCTCAGTCCAGGAGGCCCAGGAAACATTCACTCTGGAGGCTGCTAGTGCTTTCAGTATCTTCCCCTCTCCAAGGGTAAAAAGTGAAACATGACTTTTCTTTTGACAAGGCCAGGACATTTTTGAAAAAGTACACATTCTTTTACATTCTGAAAACTTTTAGCTTTACCTGCCTGCATAGATCACTCCTCTCCGCCCCCTCACTTCTGTCCTGTGCTTTGCCGCGCCTCACCCATGGCTGCCCTTGGCAGAAAGACCACGAGCCCAGTGAGGAGGCGGCGGCCCGCCCTGCCACCCTGGGAACCGAGGAGGCATAGCCCCACCACCTGCCTAGAGGCTGGGGCAGGCCCCGGCTTGCTAGGCCCCAGCAAACCCTCTCTGAGTTCAGTGCTAATTCCAGTTTTTCTTGTTTGGAGGGGCTGATCCTTGGCTTCCTCCTTGCCCCCAGAACAGATCCCAGGATGTGCAGGGGAGGAGCGACCCTCTTGCCCTCCCTTCTTCCTCTCCCTCCTGTTGGGCCATCCCTCCAAGGGCTTCCTCTTTCAAAGCTGGCAGCTTTCCAAAGGGTGGCCCTGCTGTTTGCACCATGAGGTCCAGGAAGGGCTGTGCTGGGGACAAGATGGAACCAATCACATCAGGTCCCAGACAGTGCGTGCTGCTTGGAGGGAGGGAGTGCAAAGCCCTCCTGAAAGCAAGGTGAACATGGGATGAACATTTCCAGTGCATGTTCTGTTGCCTGCCAGAGGTGACCCCAGGGACAGTACTGTGGACATGCCCTGCTTCCTGCAGGGCTCCCTTCAGCTCCCCTCCTGACCTCAGCCTTCATGAGGACCCACTCCAATAAGCTTGACACTGAATGCACCCTAAGTATTTATTGGGCGCCCACTGTATGACAGGGTCCAAGCCAAGGATGGAGGCACTTGCTGGGAACAAGCAGCCCCAAGCTGTGGTGTCAGACTGACAAGTGCTGTGGGGGAGGGACTATCAGGTGTCCTAGGGGCAGTGGCTTTGATGGAGCACTTAGTGAGGGCAGTGCCACCCATAGTGCCAAACTACCCAGATGCTTCTGCCAACTGCAGGAACCTGCCACCTTCTCTGGACCACCCTTAAGCCCTGTGTCCTTTGCTGTTCAAAGGAACAGGCCTTGAGGACAGGAGCAAGGATAGAAAGGGAGAGAGAGGCAGCTGCCTCCTGATGGTTTAGTGCTGTCACAGATGTCACCCTTATCTCTTGGATCTCCTGGGAATTTGTGAACATGGGGTTTGGCCCCAACACCTGCGAAAAGCCTCTGGGACGTCTAGGAGTGTCTGCCCCTCCCAGGTCTCCCGCCTCCTCCTTCCCAGGCAGGAACCTGCCAGGCCTCCTCCAAGACCTGCTGATTTCACAAGAGAGAAGGGGGCCCCTCATAGTAAAGGTCAAGGGGGAGCAGAGGCCCTGACTTTGCTTAGCTCAGAGGCCTCTCCTTTCAGGACCCAGAAGCCTTTTGCAGATACTGGGCAGAGTCCTCACCGGACAATGTTATCTCAGCTCTTTCTTTCCTATGCTGATGGGCAGAGGACATCTTTTCTCTTCTCTTCGAATAAACCAGCCATGTGTGGTGGCACACAACGGTGTAATCAATCCCAGAACTCTGGGAAGATGAGGCAGGAGAATCTCAAGTTTAAGCTGGGCAATTTGGAGGTCAGGATGATCTTTGTCTCAAAAAAGAAAAAATTAAGAAGTTCAGGATGTAGCTCAGCATAAAGGTCCTGCATTCAATATCCAATGCAAAAAAAAAAAAAAACACCTAAATCACCTTCAAAAGAACTTTCTTGATTCTATAAGAATACTGCTTTCTCTCTTGTCATCCCTACCTCTCCCCCTCCTTTGTACCCTTTCTGTGGATGGAGCATTTGACGTAAGCGGAGACATAGGAAAGATACCAATTCACTATCAAAGCATCCTAGCCCCATCCCAGAGCAATTAAAAAGCCAGATGGAATCTCTGGGAAAACGGCATTAATAACACGAACAATCTGTGCAGGCCGGCAGGAGCCCAGGAGCCTCAGGGAGGGGTGGGGCTTGCGGAGGGGAAGAAGGCTGGGGTGCCGAAGTATGAGCTCCAAGCAACATCTCAGCCATGTGGTGGCCAGCCAGGAATGGGGCCAGCGCAAGGGTACACTAGGCCTGGCCACAGCTGAGCTGTCCCCTCTGGCCCTTGCAAGGCCCACTGTGCACCCTGGATCCTGGTGGCTGCAGACAGAGCCAGACAAATGTGGAACCCATTACTCAGACAGCCGCAGCCTCGGCCAGCCCCATTCTGGCACCCGAGAGCTTTGCTTCTCTTCACTTTTGTTTTTATTTATTATTTTTCTAGCTTTCTGGCCCCACCCACTAGAAGCAGACCTCCCTGGGTGTATGGCTTCCAAGGACGGCGTTTCTCTATTTGGTGTGCCCACAGTCATTGCCAGTGCCTGACAGTAGAAGACAGAGTTGCCCCCTCCACCCGCGGCCTGAGCCAAGGGAGCTCCCCTTAGAACGTGAAGTGGAAGACACTTTGGGCAAGACCAGCTGAGCTCTTGAGGGAGCCGGACCCACTCACCCACACTACCCTGGCTGCCTAAAAGACCACGGCACACTTGTGCTGCTCTGAAGCCTGGTTTAGGTTGAGCTAGGGACTCCTTTCCAGTAGCCCCATTGTTCAAACCTGGCTCTAGAGACCCAACCAAGGTGGATTTAAAGAAGGTGAATGACAAATTCAAGCCCAATTGGGGCAATTTAGCAAGACCCTGTCTCAAAATTAAAAAATAAAAAATTTAAAGGGCTAGGGATAAGTTTATTGTGAAGGTCCTGGGTTCAATACCCAGTGTTGTAAAGAGAAAAAAGAAAGTTGTCTGATCACCATCAAGTTGGAATGGGAATTTGCTCATTTAAGAAAAGTCTTCTGTGATTCTCCTACGCCCAGAGATCCATTTCCTGACCTTCATCTTCACTGTCTCCTGAACCTTGTCCTTCCCCCTCATCCTCCCTGGAAGTTCTTCTCTCCAAGGTCATCACAAGCCCCTACAACATCTGAGGTCCTTTCTGCCTTTCCTGGGTTCCTGCTGAACTTGGTTGTGACACATGTCCAGTGCCTAGTCCAGGAGAGGTCTTTGACACATATGTTTGATTGCATGAATCTCACTCCAACTCATTGCTCCTTTACAAAGTATCCTGGTCCTCTCCTCTCCATTCAAGAATTCACTGAGTTGGCCCAAAGTCTACCAGGAAGAACCCTGAAGGATTAGGTCTTGGTATTGTTGGATGTAACACAAGACACCAGAAAGAAGCCCCTTAGATGAGTCATTGCTTCTGCAAAGTTGCTATTAAAGTGCAAGAATCCTAGGCAGGGTGGCCTTTGCGATCCTAGATAACCATGCAATGCCTATCTGGCCTTACAACCAGAGTCAACCAGACCCCAATGGGATGAGCATACTCTGTAGAAACATGAGACAGGGAGGAAGTGGAATGTCCAGAAGAGAGAACAGGGGAGCTGCCAGAGTTGCACAAAGGTCAGGGGCTGCCAAGACCATAGTGTTGCTCTTTTACAAGGTATTTCAAGTCTTTGTGTCTTCCTCTTACTTCCATTCTGTGATGACTGGCAAGGTCCTTGTGGAGGGATAATGCTCTGGGTATGAGGAAACCAGTGGACTAATATGGTAGCCTAGAGCCAGGGTACATCACCCCTGGACCCACACAGAGCTTAAAGAGAACCATCACAGCCTGTCCCAAGCCCCTTCTTGGATCTGAAGACACTTCTGTGATTTGGCAAGTGAGAGCACAGGCTTTCACTGCAAATGAAGCCTCTGCT